ATATTTGATTTTTATGAGTTAATTTAGACGTAATGCACGTTTTTATAGAGTTACTTCCTTGCGTTGACAATTTAAATGCGCTGCATTATTTTGCTCGTTGCGCCCTCGGGAGGCAATTAGACCTATACAATAAAGACCTATTTAATCTGCATATAAAACATTAGAAATAAGATATTTGTTTAATTTTTATTGTGTTTGATTGTTAAAACAAAAAAATGTTTGTCTCAATAAATTGTGTTGATTATAAATACAGTGGTTAAATTTAAACATTTTTTTCTATTGCTTTTTGTTTTAAAAAAGCTTATAAAAAATGTCAATAATTATCGATACCAAACGATATGAAACATTATATCGTTGATACATTTTTTAGCTATATCGCCCAGCCCTAAAATATTGTCTGGGCCACTAACTAAAATAAAATATGTTTTAAATATTTTATTTCAAGTAATAAAAATGTATTTTTATGGCTTTAATTTTAATTAACTACAATAGCCCTGATTCCACTATATTTTATGCTTGCTTTATAAAATTTATTTTCAGTTCTTGTTCTGTTCTGAATACTGCTCAATTTAAAGGACTTGTGGAGTAACAGGAATTAAAATGTATGTTTTAACATGTATAATGTTCATTAAAAATACCATTTATTTACAATATTACAAAAATAATTTCATTTTATTTACTAGTACTTATATTATTTCTGAATGCACTAATGAAACTTATCTTTGTTTTGTTTTGTTTTTTCAACAAAGAAATTCTGACTTGCAGTGACTTAATTAACGATACAGTATGTTTTTTATTTTTATTTTTTAAAATCTAATTAAAACTTTTAATTAAACTTTATTTGGAGTACTACCGTACTTGCGCGTAATTCGTGTTACTTAATATTAAGCTTAAAATGTGTTTTAATGTCACTTTTGATGAGGATTGTATGATCTTTGAATAATATCAGTCTTTAAATGCAGGATATTTAAAGTGCACCTGGACTATACCTGCAATAGTTCCACTTTAGCAATCAGATGTGCTTCAGTATATCTTTAGTTGGACTTCAGCACTACTTCCAATTTAGCACACTTTATACCAGTTTAGTATAGGCTACTAAAAGTACAATTGCAGGGTATTGTTATTAAGTACATGAATATGTAAATTGTTTGTAGTATACTTAGCATGAAATGCATTTATTTCAAATGCATTTTAGTATATTTGTTTTTTAATAGGGAATAGCCAATTTTTTTTTTTTAAGTCTTTAAAAGTATTTTGTGTTAACTACTGTGTAGCATACTGTGAATGTAAGCTATAGGGTAACATTTTATGTCACACCTTTGCATGATGTGAGTTTCTTTATTTTATTATAAAATAAAATGCTACAGTATTTAACTTTTCCTTTCTATTGGCGAATGATGATTCTGATCGAAAACGCGCCCGGTGTCTGTTTGCTATATTAACGAACGCAACACTCATGCATCTGACTGACAGAGAAACCTCGTGCTCTTATTTCAAGGTTGTTGAAGAATTAGAGGTTTTGTTTCCAGTCAAGACTTGGAAAAACTTGTTCATGCCTTTATTACCAGCAGGGTGTACTATTGTAATGGTCTCCTCACCGGCCTTCGCAAGAAGACCATTAGACAGCTGCAGCTCATCCAGAACGCTGCTGCCAGAATTCTGACTAGAACCAGAAAATCTGAGCATATCACACCAGTCCTCAGGTCCTTACACTGGCTTCCAGTTATATTTAGGATTGATTTTATATGTGATAAATCACTCAATGCCCTAGGACCTGAATACACTGCAGATATGTTCACTGAATATGAACCTAACAGACCACTCAGATCATTAGGATCGAGTCAGTTAGAAATATCAAAGGTTCACACAAAACAAGGGGAGTCTGCTTTTAGTTATTATGCGGCCCGCAGCTGGAATCAGCTTCCAGAAGAGATCAGATGTGCTAAAACATTAGTCACATTTAAATGCAGACTCAAAACTCATCTGTTTAGCTGTGCATTTATTGAATGAGCACTGTGCGATGACCGAACTCTGGCTGCTGTCCCGCGCTAATCGCATCTTTTGGGGGGAGCGCTCTGGGTTCCTCTCTCTCTGAGCCCTCTCCCCGGACAGCACGCCAAATATGCATAACCTTTACTCTGTTTATTATATGTAAGTGTGAACTCGTGAATTCGTGCTTGTAGTAATTTAATGTGCATATATTTTAAAGCATTAAATCACTGTAGAAATAATCAGATTCTTAGTGTTTTAAATCGATTATTGGCCGAAATCAACGATTGACAATTCAAAAATCCATGTTTCAAGACGAGCGAAAAACGAGCGAGTCGTTACAGCCCTAGTCGTGACCCCTGACCTCGGGCGGCGTAGGCCGCAGACAGGTCCTCCTCCTCGTCCTCGGTGCGTCTCCTCTCCAGCGTGTTGGGTCTGGAGCTCTGGCATCCTGAAACACGGCAGCGGGAGTCAGAGACGGGCTCCGGAGCCGAGCGGGGCTCTCGAGGATCACACTCACCTTTACAGAGCGCTCGGTCGTCGTTCAGCTGCACGTGAGATGGCAGAGACATGTTCTCCCGCGGCAGATACACACCGCTCTCGCTGCTGCAGCACACACACACACACACACACATCAGATCAGATCAGCTCACCCAATAATGCCAGTATTAGCCGTGAACGCTGAGGAGTGGCGCACCGTTTGCAGGAGAGACGCACTGCAGGCTCCTCTGAAAACAACACACAACATCAGAGATCAGCTCACAGAAACACGTGTACATGTACAGAGTGCTCCATAGAGTGTGTGCTGAGATCATGCACCGAGGGCTTTGGTTTTGTCCTTCTGGAGGAGGAAGAACACCATCAGGGTGAAGATGAGGAGGGTGATGAAGCCGGCGACACCGCCCGTCACGATCCCGAACACCGGCACCTCCACACGCGACTGCAGGAACTCTGCAGGAACACGCATTTATTTGTTTGTATCAAGCTTTGAAACCTTTACGAATTTTTTGTTTCGAATCATTTATTCGGAGCGTGTTTCAAACTGCCAGAGTCACGTGATTTCAGTAAACGAAGCTTCGTTGTGTCATAACTGTTTTGAAACGTTTCGATATTTTAACAGTTCACCACTAGGGGGACATCTCTCTGAAGCCTTTTTTATTGACTTCTAATAAAAACAGAACATATAGGCTACAGGAGTATAACCATACAGATGTATACAGATATATAAATAAATAAATACAGAAAGGCATTAAGTTTTTATTGTTTTATGTCATTTTTAAATATATTGTAAAATCGATTTTAAATGGCTCAGAATTTTTTATTTTTCATTCCATAGACTTCATTAATATAATAACGGGGCAATTATAATGGACCACAAAACCAGTCATGAGGGTCAAATTTTGAAATTGAAATGGTCAAGGTTGTTTCAGATCAACGAGTGACCACTAGAGGGGTGTCGGATTGCTTCGACTGTTTCAGTGATTCGTAAAGCCTCACTCTGCCCATCACTAGTAACAAATACTCATGTGAGTAACACCACGATGGCAGAGCGTTTACGAAGCGGTTGGCGTCACCTGTGAGCGTGAGGTTGCTGTGGGCGGAGCCGAGGCTGTTGTTGGCGTTCACGGTGATGTTTCCTGATAGGCTGCTGAGCGTGAGCTGCAGGCTGTGATTGGTCAGCCAGGGCAAGCTGCGTGAGTCCAGGATGAGGAAGTCGGAGCTGTTGGCGAGCAGCTGACCGGACTGATCCACCCAGCGGATGGTGGCGGGGGGGTTGGAGCGAACCAAAGCGAAAAGGATGAGGGCGAGGCCCGGGTCCGAGCTCTCGCTGTAGTGAGCGTCCACACGCAGGATCTCCGGCTGGACTGAAACACAACTCTACTCAACTCTCTATCGCCGTCTGTGGCCAAAACATACAACTGCATGCTGCTTACGGACAGATCAAAATTAAAGGGGTCATATGATGTTGCTAAAAAGAACATTATGTTGTGTTTATGCGCTTTAAGGTTCAAAAAACAAAATATTTTCCACATACTGTACATTATTGTTTCTCCTCTATGCCCCGCCTTTCTGAAACGCGTTGATTTTTACAAAGCTCATCGGTCTGAAAAGCGAGGTGTGCTGTGATTGGCCAGCTATCCAGTGCGTTGTGATTGGCCGAATACCTCAAGCGTGTGACGGAAATGTTACGCCCCTCACCATACTGTGCTGCCCTGTCCGGCCGGAGCGACGAGACAAAAACATTAAAACCCATTATAAACCAGGCATTTGTTGCATGCTCCGGCATAATTCATTGATTATAATGACTTATTCTGTCTTTTTACGCGTTGCGTTGCATCGCGGCGTGTAAACATGAAACCATGTCTGCATTTGTGATCGGAGAAATGACAAACAACAAGCGCTACGCTACACTGCCCAAAATGTTTCGTTTGAATCGTCAGTGGCAAATCCTTTAAATATAAAAAAAGTCTGTGAGTCAGAAGTGCCAGACTGATCTCGCAAAGTTGGAACTGCCCCACTTTATAAAACAGCCTTTGAGCACAGACCCATTGTAGGCTAACGTTACTCTGCAGGTTCAGGAAACAGTCCTCCATAAAAATGCGTCACACAGCGTCATGAGTGAGCGGTGGCGGGTGAGCTTGAGAACGGCGCGGCCGGCGAAGTCGACAAAGGAGCGTCCGGAGGGCTTGCGGCAACCACATGTGACGACCCCGGGCTGGACTCCGCTTCGTCCACGGTGAAAGCCGATCCGGCGATCCTCAGCGAAGTTGATGTATTTCCTCAGCTACCAGCACGGATCAGCTCCAGGCATGAGGAAGTGAATACCGTCCTCTTTTGGAAGACCAAACAAAGTAGTTTCGCTTTCACAACGAAGCACAGTGTCTTTACGACATGGCGGCAGCGGCAGCAACAATACTACAGCGAGAATAAAAGTTACGCCTTCTTTCTTTGCGTGAACATTTGGGCGACGTTATGCAAATCTTCCCACACAGTGATGTAGATATGTGGGGGCGTGTTAGAACGAGGTGTTTTAGGTAGGCGTGGCTGACTCTTAACTTTTATAAAGAATATCTCTTTGGATTTGAGACTTTAGTCTTTGCAACTTTACAGATCTTCTTTATGCACCGAGAGCTTGTAACACTCCAAAGAGAAAGGAAACATTGAAATCACATCATATGACCCCTTTAAATATACATAAATTTAAATTAATATTTTATAATTATATAATATAATTAACAGTTTTGTTAATATTATAACTTTCATATTAATATATAAAATTTTTCATCTTATTATAATTTATATTAATGTATAGCATCATTATCATTAGTCACAATTTTTATATTAATGTATACCTTGATTTATGATAATAACAATAATAAATGTAAATTATAATAGATAGAAAAATATAAAAGATTAACATATTATTATAAATTATAATATATAATATAATTATATAAAATAATATAATTATATCAATAATCATAATAATAATAATAATCATGTTATATATATACAATAATAATAAGAATTGTAAGTAAAATTAAATATAAAATATTAATATATTACGATAAATGATCATATAATAATAATTATTATTACTATTATATATCAATAATAATAATCATGTTATATATAAAATAATAAGAATGGTATATACTAATATAAGTATTATTAATATTAATAAGAAGAATGGTATATGTATGAACATTATAATTGTTTATATATACATACCATTCTTTATTATTATTAGTAGTAGTACTATTATAGTTCTTGATATTTTATTACACTATTATAATTACTACTAATAATACTAAAATGTATTATTATATGCAATATTCTTCTTCTTATTAATCTAATTATTAGTAGTAATATTACAATTGCTATTAATATACAACATTCTTCTTATTATTATAATTTTCAATATTTATAACCAAATGAGTTCTCGACGGAGCAGCGTGAAGCGGACTCACACTGGACGTTGAGCGAGACGCTGGCGTTGTAGCTCTCTCCTCGCGCGGGGTTCCGCGCCGCACACACCAGCTCTCGGTCCCAGCGCCTCGGCTTCAGTGTGAACGTGCTGTTGCGCTCCGATCCGTATTTCAGCGCTCCGGAATCCTGCGATGATGTCATCACCAGACGCCCCGCCCCCCGGCGGCCCGTCACCTCGCTCTGCCGCTCGCCGTTCAGGTACCAGGTGAGCAGGGGCGGGGCTTGAGCATCCCAGCCCTCTGATTGGCAGCTGAAGTGGTGAGTGACGTTCTCCTGTATGGTGACCGACGAGGTCCGCTGTCCGTCAATTTTGGGGGCGGGGTCAATGGATGCTGTCAGAGAGAAACAAAGTCAAGCACAACTTGGAAACTTGTGTGTGTGTGTGTGTGTGTGTGTGAGTGAGTGAGTGAGTGAGTGAGTG